AAAAAAATCAGAATGAATGAGGATGCATATTTGTTTGACATCAATGTTCTTCCATTTTCTTCAGTTTGTTTGTATTTCTGTTAGCAAACATAATAATAAAAAATGTTCATTGTGGTAAACGAAATAATAATTTGATCTAAGTAAGTTTTTTTCTTCCCAATTTGTAAAAAATCCTTATGTGATGGAAGAAAAAGAATAATATTTTCAAAATCTGCAGGCTTGTGTAATCAAAGTAAATGTATCTGATAAAATAATTTAGATATATTTTAAAAAGTTTAGTTTGCATGCATACAAATTTTAGATATTAAAAAATTATATCTCACAAAACAAGAGCAACTTATACATGATTCAGTACAATGACTTAGAAAAAACACATTAATATATATGTTCAACTGAATAAAAGTGTGTGGATTAAAAACTTGAAGTCAAAGGTTTATTTTTAGGCTCTAGAATTCTCCCTTTTTCTTTTTCTGAAACTACTTCTTCAAATCAGTTATATACACACTCGAAAAAATATGATTAATTCACATGTATAAACCTTTAACATGCATCATTAAAACAAGTTATGCATAAGTTAAAATTTTACCTTTTCACATTATACAAAGGAACACTACGCAAGCAGGCTATTGCAGCTCGTTTCTTGGAGGTGGACAATAGTTTCAGCCAACCTGTCCGAGTTGGGCGGGGATTGTGGGCCTAGTTGTGGAGGAACACAAACACACACAAACAAACCTTTCGAACTTTCATATAGTAACTAATAAAAATGCAATGTACAGATAAGTTAAATAAGTCAGATAAACGATGTTAGTTAACATTCCTTTTGTGAATGTCCAGAAGAAACATTAAAAGGAAAAAGGTACAAATCATCTAAAATAAAAAAAACATACTAAGCAAAACCAAAACGTTATGTTCTTTATCATCAAAAGCATGGTTAAAATTCCAGATTACCAGACCGAACTGAAGATAAAGTGTTGTTAGAATACTTACCTATCTCTAAATGTTTCTGCAACTAACTTGTTATTTTAATGGAGACACAATGGTAATATTAATAATTATAGAGTTTGTTAAATAGAATATGTGGTTGGTTATTTAATGCCAATAGACGCAGGTAGAGGATAAGACATTAACAAGCATGCTTTCACAGCATTTTCCAGGTTAGGAATGGATTTCATTAGTTAACATTGACAGTCCTGATATCTGATTACCTAGGTAGACTGTGAAGCGAGGTCATTCGGAAACAGGCAATTACAGCACGCTTTCTCTGAGTTGAAACCACGCTACGCCACACCCCTTTCTGCTGCCCCTGGGGGTGGTCAATCTACCAGGGAGGGGGTAGAAAGAGCAAAATATGAAGCACAAAGAAAATGAAACAAAAGGCGAAACAAAAAAGAAAGAAGCTTTAAATAAAGCAAACAATAGATTTTTAAGACAAGAAAGAATAAAACAGATAACGTATAATGTGAATAAATATCACTAGATTTAACACAGTTGGATATTTTCATAATCTTGTATTGTTATCAGTAATAATAAAGTCAGTAGTAAGAAATTACGAGAACAAAAATAAAAATAAAATTATTTCAGTAATCTTGCTTACATCATCATTATTTACAAAAAGCTTAACATCTGGGAGTAGAAAGATATAAAGAAAACTAAAAATAATATCTTATAAAACTCTATATAAACAAAACAATGTAAAACAAAAAATATATTCACTTAAGATTGGACAAACTTAGTTGCAATATCATGTAAAGATGAAATAAAACATTTTATTGTTAAATACTGCAAGTCTTCCAAAGAAGTAAACTAATTTTGATACAAGATTAGAAATCAAATTAAGGCTCCTTAACAACCCTAGGTACCCTGATAAGCTGCAAAGAATTGGAATACAGACAGTAATATTGCTACAAGTTTTTGTTTTTTTATATCTTTGATTTACAAAATAAGATTAGCTATAATTTACAATGGTATTTTTTCCCTCATCTCCTGGTAAGACAGACTGGATCATAAAATCTAATCCATTTTTTTTTCATACTATTTATTTTTTGGCAAAAAACAGTGATCAAACTTTTTGAGATCCTTTTCTCATAAGAAATTGGTCTTTAACTTTACACTTCATGATTAATGTTTCCCTTGAGTTATGGAGAAATAAAGTATGTATCAATTACAGAAACAATTTTTATCAGCTACACAAGTCTGAAAATAAAAAGCTGTAAAAGTCACTGTAGGTTAATAAATCATGAATATTAACAAGTCATCAACGTGGATCACAATACACATGTTTGCAACAAACATATATAAAAAAAGCTCAATTGTAAACAGATAATAACAAATTTCTTTGGACTTCAAAAAATGTTCATCCAACAGCCAGATTCCAATAGGTTGGGAGGCAACTGCAGTTGGTAGTCCTGTAGCTGGATAACCACTCATGGAAAATTTGCAGAGGTAAATATCCTCTAAAATTCTGTACACATCTGGCCTGATGAATAAGACCACATATTCCACCAATTCAAATTCAGCTGTTCCACTAATTCAAAGGTTTGGAGTTTCAAATCTTGGCAGGGTCATTCAAAACATTTTACCAGCATGGAAACACTATATGGTGTGTCTGGTGTATTAAGGGTTAACCCAATGGACCAGAACACTTGTGGGGGGTTATCTTCTGAAGGTTTCTACCTCACCCAATATATCTAAATGCACATATGACTTGCATACTTTTTATGATAGCTACATTATTCTTGTTGTGTAATATGATGCATTTTTCTCTAAATGGTCTTATTATATTTATTTACAACAATTTTAAAATGGTAACATAATATACAAAACAACTGACTGATGTAATATATGTTATAGACCATGCTTGCTTACTTTAAAAAACACAAACATATTCAGAATATGTTTTAATTATTTTTTCTAGCTTACTGCGTCACAGAAATAAACAAAGCAAAGATCATTAAAACTACTGAAAAAACTAATTTACTTTATTAACACTCTTAGTAAGCTGAATAATCAGAGTAGCAATGAAAGATTTAGATAGTTGTTAAAACAGTCTCATATATTATTATTTTAAACTATCTATAACCCACAAAACATTTGTGGTAGTTTTCATACCTTTTGCTTGAATTTTCCTTATTCTATCATTTTCATGCATACCATTTAAGCTACGCTTTCTTGCAAGCATTATGTGTTAGATTGATAAATCCTGGTCTATTTTATGCCGTCGGACAAATAAACTCACGTAGACATAACTTTATTTAACAAAACTACATGTAAAGTAAACAATAAAGTAAAGTAATGGTATTTATAATAGTGTACAGAGTATGAAACAGTTATGAACAGTCAGTGTATGACATGGTTTTACGAGTTGAAACAAATAAACTGAACAAAAACGAAGAGTAAAACCCATAGTAAAGAAAAAAAGTAGCTAAAATGTGTTTATAGCAGTCTGTGAAATGCACTGAAGAGAAATTATTGCAAATTAAAGTAAATGTAAAGTTGTAATGAAGGCAACTTTAGCTGAATATGCAGAAACATCTGAATGTGTGTTCACAAACTGATAAGCATATGGTTTTGAACAAACTGTGCACGCATATTTCAGAACTAAATAAGTCGAGAAAGCCCATAGAAATTATATTTAGTGTAATGTTAATTTTTTTTAGGAAGTTACATGCGGATTAAGTGTTGTTTGTGTGAAATACTTTGTAAATTATAATAACTTAAAGTTGAAATCAAAACCAGACATCATGTGATGACAATGACATTGTCCAATCGTGTACCATACTCATTGCATTGAAAAGTTTGACTAAGCAAAAAACGGGTAAGGTGATTTGTAAATGAAAAGCCAATATGCAATCCAGACTCCTTGGACAAAGGCCTTTCTAACAATACGAGATTTTTAGCATTTGATCAGAAAATTTGTGAGAAAAGTTCCAGACAGACAGATGCAAGCATATTATTTATACAGATAGAAACTCAGCATTAGTGGCAACTTACTACATTCAAGAATAGAGAATATATACTTATACAAAATACAGTAATTATAATTTTGAAAACTACTTGGTTCAAACTTTTCAATCTACTAGATTAGAATAAAACTAATTACACAAGCTTGAGTGAATTACCACTGCCTACTATGGGGTAGCAGGTATGAAACAGAAGTGCAAAAATAGGGTTGGAGGGTGGCTTCACTATTTATATGAACTTACTTTGTGATTCCTATCGTTTCTACAAATATAATGACAATACTACAAACTTGGTCAATCTGAAGTTCAGTATTAACTGCAGTGACTTGTTTCCTACGCTGTCTTTCTCTTAAAATATGACTAAAGGTCAGGAGTGATAACAGAGTATTAGTTGTTGTTACTTTCGTAGTATGTAAATATGTATGTATGTATGTGATATAATTTGTGATTGGTCAACGACAGACTGTCTAAATTGTGAAAGCAGTCTGGGGTGCTTTCAGAAATATTAGCTTCTGCTTTAAAGGTCCAAAATTTGTTGTAATGTGCTATGGTTTGATATAATTGTGTATGCTACATGTGCAGTGTCATACTTTATTTTCATGATCATTTAGTTTTATTTTCAGACATGCATTAAAATATGAAATAAACAGCACTAAGTGTGTTCATCAGACTTGTTTCTTCTTTTCTTCTACAGTTGTGTTTACATTAACCAACCAAATCTTTGAACCCCCCATTAAATGGGGGTAATTTACCTGTGTGCCATTATTACTCTAAATCAGGAATCCCACACTTATTACTCAGAAGTATTTAAGAAATGTATGGTCAAGGATAAAACTAATAGTTGAAATAAAAAACAAATAATTTTATGACATCCTTAAGCAATGTTAAACTAACTGTAGAAAGCTTAGTACAATAAAACAATTCTCTGGTGATATTTATTCTGTACTATGGTAAAATTTGACACTACAAGATGACAAACAGATTGCTTAACAAACCTTCCAAATGTTTAGATATCAACAAATACACAATAACTGTCAATTAAAATTTCTGACTCATAATAACTTTTAGATGTTTACAGAGATGTCTGGATTAATTTTTAATTGATATAAAATTGTCTCCTACAAGTGATTATTTTATAAACGTGTTAACGTACCCTCCCTCCCAAAACAAAACAACAAACAAAAACAATATTCAGCTGCATATGCAACATAACAAAAATGTTATAAATGTTAAGAAATAATTTCTGAACCAGAAAATGTTTCATACACAATTAGTATAATAAAGAAATTTATTTGAAATGTTTTTTATAAAAAAGTTAACGATTCTTTTATTTCTTTGTGTACGAATTTTCTTTTGATTTTCTTTGCAACATATATTTTAGAATGAAGATATGTTTGCGTCAGCGAGTCACATGACCACCGTGACGCAACGTTTCTAGAACTATCGTGTACTTTGGCG